TTCAAACAAAAGAAATTCAACATAGCTGGCCTTAGATTCTCAGAAATCTTAAAAAAATTGTCGATATTGATTGAAAATGCATATCCTGAATAATATGCATAGCATTCCACATTGTAGAATAGTCTAGTTTGAAATTGTTTTGAAAAAAATGTGTGAATTGATGCAGTAAAGTAGACCATTATATTGTGTTATGAACCTGAGAACAGAACTGTTGTGTGATAAAAATGGAACTGGCGTGATTTATTTATAAAATCCATCATCAAATGGCTACAGTTGCTCTAGTACTTGATCTATTAATTCCATGCCATCCTGCAGCGCCTGCATCTCATGTATCAGTTCCTCTTGGCTGTCTAGATCACTCATAGGATTACTGTACATCTCCATATTGGGTACCTTGTGGGCTGATTCCACTGTAAATGAAATGAGTTTTATGTTTTAACCATTCTCTTACTATTACCCTCTTTAGGATCCTGATAGATTGCATTCCTTAATGCTGCCTATAAATCCTTACTTTTTCATGATTTTCTCTTCTTTTTCAATATCTGAGAATATAGCCTCAGGACTATATAGAACTACTTAAATCATAATTGTATTCTAGACTACAAAGCGCCCAATTAACCCCACAAAATTTCTGGTCTAATGAAGACAGGCAATACCAATTCAGTGTCCAATAAGGGAAATTTTGTCAGAACAGCATAATTAGCTTTCTCTTTTATTGCCCCATATACAGGAGTAACTATAGGGGATAATTTCCAAATTTCTAGGGGTAATAAGGCGCTGGAAGTAGTTCATGTCAGTCATTTCAGCTATTTTCTCCAAAATATTGAAGGGAAAATCTAAGAGAAAATCACAAAATTTACAGGGGTAAAGCAATCCATCAAACATCCTGAAAGGGGAAAAGAAAGTTGAAACCCCTGGTGCAAGGCTATGTATAAGGCTATGTTTTATTTTTTTCAAGGCATTCTTATCACATAGCAAAGGGGAAATAACTCTTTTACACTAGAAGAGAAGAATTCTAAATTATAAAGTTAAAGGATAAGAGGAGATAACTCACCAGGTAAAACTGCCTCTTCAAACTCTGAAGGTGTTTTAACTTCATCTTTACTGGGTGGAGTTTCGTCAAAAAATGTGATATCTATTCCTAACTTATTCTTAGCTGCAGTAACATCTGCAAAATATTCATGGTGCTGGCACGAGTTAACAATATAAAAACTCCCTAAGCTAACAAAATAAAAACTAAGTTAACAATATAAAAACTCCCTAAGCTAACAAAATAAAAACTAAGCTAACAAAATAAAAACTAAGTTAACAATATAAAAACTCCCTAAGCTAACAAAATAAAAACTAAGTTAACAATATAAAAACTCCCTAAGCTAACAAAATAAAAACTAAGTTAACAATATAAAAACTCCCTAAGCTAACAAAATAAAAACTAAGTTAACAATATAAAAACTCCCTAAGCTAACAAAATAAAAACTAAGTTAACAATATAAAAACTCCCTAAGCTAACAAAATAAAAACTAAGTTAACAATATAAAAACTCCCTAAGCTAACAAAATAAAAACTAAGCTAACAAAATAAAAACTAAGTTAACAATATAAAAACTCCCTAAGTTAACAATATAAAAACTCCCTAAGTTAACAATATAAAAACTCCCTAAGTTAACAATA